AGACATGGTTATGTTTAGGGTTTGTCAAACGGTAATTGACCAATTTTGGATAAAATGACAGGGGAAGCAGTTTGCTGTTTACTGACCTTCAAATGACCCACAGCCATTTGAAAAAAAATAACAAAGTTTTCAGAGAGGAACCACTATATCATGCTAGATTTCTCCCACAATATGTCATAGAAAACCTGTTTTTCCACCCCTCAGTAAATCAGAACTTCACACTGGCACGGTAACCTACAGTCGACCAGCAGGTCCGTTAAACATTTGCAGGCCTGACCAGGAATGCTTTTGAAAAAAAACAAAGAGAGGCAAGTTGAGGCACAGACACAATTCCTTCAATATCTCAGTAAACTCAGACTTTAAAGAGGTACATGACCCCTTAAAATTAAAAAATACTCCACTGAGGAGACGGGGCACATCTAGCTGCCAGTGGTGAAACCTGCATATCACAACCTGATGGACAGCGAATGACCGAGATACACAAAACACACACATGCATGCAAATACAGACACACACACACACGTACATGCAGTCATCTTAAACTTTTAATACTGTTTAGATTACTATTGCTGTATACAGTCTACCATTCTGGACGCCTTCTTAGCAGTGATGGAAGATATATTCAGATCCTTTAGGAGAATAAAAGTATTATTATTACACTGAAAATGCTCTATTATAAAAGTATGTAAGTATTATCAGCAAAAGGTACTTTAGGTATCAACAGTAAAATGGTCCTTGTCAGTGTTTAATCATGATGTGTGATGTTTTTGGTTCACTATTCCTGCTGCATTAATGTGTACATTCTCTGCAGGTTTCTCTCAGCAAAGATCCAGCTTGTTGTGGAGGGAGAGGACATTGGATAGCAGGAGGACGGTCCTGCTGGTCTGGAGGGGTTAGCCTTTAGCCTAGCATGGAGCCCGGCTCTCTTCCTCTTCCTTTGTTTACGTTCGTACCGCTTCCTTCTCTCTAACTGCCGGCGTCGTCTCCGATCGGACTCTGTGTTGGTGTGGTATGTCCAAATCGCAACCGATCGCCGCCATTTATTGTTCTGATATTGTCTGGAATGAATGTCTGGGATAGACAAGACACTCAAATCTTTCACCCTCGCTGTCTCCTGAAGATGATGATGTTACCACAGCGTTTTAAAAATATATGTAAATATTTATATGAACCTCCATAAAGTACATGCACTGTGAGTTGTGCGAATCTCAGACCAAAAAAGGAGGTTCGATAACGGATGAACGGGAAAATATATGAACCAGGGAGCTGGATCAGAGTAACCCAACCAGCTGTTGAACTGCTGACAAACCCATTGACCCAGCAAGAGCTACCCAACAGCGGGGTGAACAGTGTTTCTATGTTACCCCAGAATTATAATTCAACATAATCAATCTAAATATGTGTCTAAAGAAACAACCCAGTACTTCTTACTGTAGACTTGAAAGGTTTTCCATCTCGTACTCTATGCTCTTGGATTGTTTAACTCTACAGCAATGCATTATATTCTTATATATATGAAGTATGTTATTTGTTCTGAGATGTAGTGGAGCAGAAGGATATAGTTGTATCAAATGGCTAAACTATAAAAAGTACAGTACAAGTACCTCAGATTTGTGCAGTACTTGAGTAAATGTATTTAGTTACATTCCACCACTGTTCTCTCGCACTAGGAGTGTAATGTTGCTACAAAAGGCAGCATTTACTGAACAACCACAGCATTAGACTTTGAAGAATAGGATATCACTTCAGCTGTAAAGTTTTGTTAAAAATGAACAAACTTTGGTGGAAAATGTCTTTAAAAGTGGGGAAAAAAACTCCCTTTTTAAATCAACACTGACTGAGCTCAATGGATTTGTGAAAACAAGAACACGCCATTTCAATGAGTTACGCTTTTACAATCCTCAAAAGTATATTTTTGGTGCTACGACAGAGGCCTGGTGTATACTGGTCATTTGGGAACTGAAACTATTGCTACACACCAAAATCAGTAAACATGTGCATCACATACACAGATCAGTCTGTAACCAAACCACAAGATGTCCACCAGGCGCACACAAACTCTGGCTGCTCTCACTTTAGTTCAGTTACTGACTTGAAAAATATAAAGACAAACGATTTTTACCATATTAAAGCTCCAATCCTGCAGCGAGTGTCGGTGTCAGACTCCCTTGAACTCAGCATGTGGACTGAACCCAGACACAGATTGTTTAGATTTGTCAGCTTCACTATGACAACGTTGCCATGGAGACGACTCTTTGACAGGCATACACAATAATATGTGGAGTATGAATTTGTGTGTGTGAACTGTGCAGGAACTCGGAAAATGTGAATACATAAAATGCATTATGCAGATGTTGTAAATGATTTATTGGGTATGAAATACTGTAACCAGTCACGGGGTCACGCTGCGGACACGGTGTTTGGACTTGACCCGCTTTGTGCTCCGGTACAGCAGTTTGTGTGCCGTTTAAAGCCGATACAAAATGTAATACAGTAAACACTGCAGCAAGGTCGCGATAGGATTCTAACTCGGAGGCTTTGTTTCCATTGAGTTATTTCATTACAGTTTAACAAAAGATCCAGGACGCTTTCCAGGACTGGCCATGGCACTGAAAAATTAGGTTTCCTGCTGGAGTCGCTGCACCCAGCTCGACTACTAACTGATAGATCATGTCTGGGGTTGGGGTATAAGGGGGGAATTCACTGTAAACACAAATAATTAACTCTTCATAAAGCGCAAAACATGTTTAAAAGAAAAAAAAGAGACCTTACACAGCCTAAGACTTTACCCAAAACACTGCATCTACTAGAAATCATCATTTTTAAGAGATTGACTCATTTCCACTCTATTAATTTCCCTCTGTGGGCGTTGGTAGTGTGTAAAAGTGTCAACAAAAGCATCACAAACATAATATTTAAGTGCCCGAGGGAGCAGTTAAAACTGAATAGACTGGAGGGAAGTTCATAGTTGGCAATTTATTTTCTATATCCAAAAAAAAAACATGCAGACAGCTGGTGTTGAATACACATCTATTTTATTTTTGTCATGTTTTAAAAAGGGGGAAGATGAATAACGACAGGATGTGAAGTGAGACAAAATCTTGCCTGAGGCTGCGCGAGGGGGGAAAAAAAAACAAATCCTCAGAATTTTTCACGGCAGAAATTTTAACTTGTCATAGCAGGAAAACAACAGATGCTACGAGGTGCTATACGAATAGCATTATCATTAACTCTGGTCTGTTTAAGTGTCCCATGTGTGGTATGAGTGTTATCATGCACAACAACAGGACGGATGGTTTTTATTTTAGTGTTTGCAGCTGTGCGTGTGACATGTCAAAATGTCTTTGGTGAAAAAAAGCCTCTTCTGCATTTTGTTTTTGGGTGTAAAGATAAAAAATGTTCTCGACTACATTTTGTTATGATGTGGACTCTTCAAAGTGTAGCGTTGGTGCTGCAGGCCCTCGCAAGGTATCTGTAGTTGTGGAAGGTTTCTCTCAAACTGGCCTTCAAGACTTTCATCAAAGGTGCAAGACGTCCTAGGTCCTCTTGAGGGCGCTGTTGGGTAGCAAAAAAACCTGTATGAGGCCTTCGCGTTTACGCTAACACAGTTTATTTCCTGCATTTCCACAGTGTTTTACCCTCGTCAGTGCCCGCATCAGCCGTTGGAGCGCTGCATCCTCTCTGTGTGGACACAGGCCGGTCACTGTGTTCACACAGCTCAGCAGACAGTAGATGGTGTGTCGCTGTGGCTGGAATAAAGTAATTAACATTTAAAATACAGAGTGCTGAAGAGACAAAGTTGATGTTTTTGTTTTCTTACCTTCTTCAGCACACTGAGAGTCTTCCGGTTGCTCGCTCCAGCACTCAGCTTTTCTATATCCTCAGCACTCAGAACAGGCTCCTGGATGGAGAAATCAGATAAAGAGGAAATGTTTACCGTGTACAGGAGGTTAAAACTGAAATTCTACAAATCAATATGCACAATTCTGGGACAATCTGAGCATTATGCTTGATGCGACTGACCCTCAACTTCTCCAGCCAGGTCCACAAGAGACAACAGAGAACCTGAGGATCCGACTCAGTGACCAGCAGAGCCCAGCCACAGTCGCTGCTGTTCAGTTCCTCCTGTTAACAAGGTGTTTATTCAGTGGCGTTAACATGAATCGACATGTCAAACCAGGTTCATTCCAGTGCTTTGTTACGTTTTACCTGCAGCAGAGCCGACCGTTGCAGAATGAGTTCCCCTGGAGGACGCTGTTCCGCCATCGCTTTAGCAACAGGACGTGCCATCGAGGTTGGGCCTGGATTGTGTGGATTTCTGCACAACTTTATGTGATAGAGGTAAGAACGTTTTAAAACACTCACAGTAAAAGCTTCTTTATCAGCTAGCTTTTTTAACAACAAGAGGTTACCTCCATGTTGGAGTTGTGTTTGGGAAGTGTCTTCTTCGCTGTGCACTTGAATCTCTTAGCACAGCTGCTGCTTGTTCTCATGCCAGACGTTGGGATATTCAGTGTATGAGAGTCCTTCTTGGTAGTCTGATGCCCTGATGAAAGCACCGGACTAGCTGGCCTCAGATCAGTTTGAATCAGGTCTTGTACGCACCAGTGTTTCTCATTTCCAAGTGCTGCGGTGCAGTATGGACTCAGCTCCAGGTCCTTCAGGAAAGAATGCCACAAAGTGAAGTGATTCTACTGGAGAAGTTAAGAACCTTTGTGACATTTTGGTTGCATAATGTGAGACTTCACCTCATTTACTGTGATCTTGCTGAGGTCAGATTCACTGTAGCTGCGTTTGTCCAGCAAAACCTCTCTTTTCCTCTCTAAGAACCCCAGCGGCTCGTCCCAGGAGGACACCGACCCGGAGCCCGCCCACGAGCTCTTACGACCGTCTCTCAGCAACGGCAAGTACTGTTTGGCCACCAGGGTCTCTCTCACAGCCCTGCCCAGGTCCCTCAGGGCTGACCTTTTGTCCAGCTCAGCGTGGACCTCTGGTGGAGAAGGGAGACCCAGGGCTAAGCAGGAGAGTCTCACACACAGGAGGTACACCACCTGATGACACGAGCAACAGGAGACCAACAGGAGACCAACAGGAGAAGGTTAATTGTTATACGGTACTGTGAGGTATGTTCATGATTAATGCAGTGTAATGTAGTCCTGACCTTGGGTGTATGTCTTAGATTGCGTGCCTCCTGGCCGTGCAGCAGTAGCGCTTGTCGGTTTAGGTAGTGCTGCAGGGTGAAGGGGGCTCCGTGCCGCAGGCTGAGGTCTGGGTACTGGGCCAGCTGCGTGCCAAGTAGGCGAGCAAAGTCGAACACCTGACTGATCTGTGCTCGAGTTTGGATGGAACGAGGCCTTTTAATCCGCACGTAGTGGACGGCCTCACTGGGGCTGATGCGCAGGGTGTAGATCAAGTAACAGGCTATCAGGACGCCTGACACAGCAGAGACACGGAGAAACACAGTGAGAATCCGCAAGTGTGCACAGGCTGACACACACAATTATTACCTGAACAGTAAATACAGTATGTGTCTTTGATCCTACCTGTCCTGCCGAGGCCTGCGTGGCAGTGCACAGCCACTCTTCCTTCCTTCACTGCAAAGGCCAGAACCTTCACCGCGTCAATTACACCGACAAGAGACGACACTCCAAAATCCGGCATCCCAAAGTTGTAAAAGTAAACTGCAAAAAAAAAAATGCACATGTGACAACAGTGATGCCTTTTGTAGCTTAATGTAAATTAAAATGCTTTGCCTGAGTTTACACAGACTTGCTACAGCTTTACCAAAGATAATCAGTGCTAGTCTAACCCTCTGAACCCCAGAACCAGCCGGCAGGTTTGGAAGGCATCTTGTCTTTTTTTTAAAAAAAAAAAAAAGAAAAGAAAATGACACCATTTAGCAGAGCCAGAAGCTGTAAAAATGTATGTGATGTGCAGTTCCAGCAGGAAAATTAACCCGCTCGAAGCTTAAAATTGCAATATTCAATCAAAAACTCCTAAATCAAATCAAAAAATAAACAGTTTGCACAAACAGGATTGTGTAAAAACACATTTTCTGTGATCACTAGTGGCTCAGCTGTGTCCAAACATTTTCTCAGCTGAACTCGAATAAACTGCAGGTTGTGCTCACACAGAGCAGATAGAAGAAAAGTATGGAAACAAATAAAAAAATAAGGACTAACATTTCTACAATATGTAAAACATATAGGCACTTGGAAAATAATGCACATGCTGATTACGTTTTTTTGTAAAAGAAATAAGAAATGAAAGGAAATTTTTGCATTTTTAACTTTTTAACAATGATTTATGACTGTTATTATGACTCTTATTATAACTCCGTCATACTGCACAGAAGACAAAATGTCAAAATGTGACATGGACCCAGAAACTGCTCGTGGATTTAAACGGGTTAATATTTTGTTCTGAAATGAAATGAAATCTGTTTCACATTCAGTGTATCAAGATCTCACTGTCGTTGTCCATGAAGATCTGTGGAGAGTAGGTGAAACCACTTCCAGGGTCCAGAGGAGGTCCACAGTGAGCGTGCTCTCCTGGGAGCTGCATGTTGATGATCGATCTGATGTTTAACCTCGGAGGAAAAGTCACAATCATGAACACCGTCACTGTTTCCCAATTTACATGCTTCTCATTGAAGACGTAACATTTGAGAATATTACTGGTAGGTGTCATTTAAAGCAATGCTGTTAGATGCTTTATTCTCATTTTAACTGATCACAGTAACAACCTAATTCGTCTGTATTTGAAATAATTATCTATGCAGCCGGTTGCACTATAAAGTGTCCTAATTTTGTTAAAACCTTTTGAGAAAGCTCATAATTCCTACAACCTCTGCACAGGAGAATAACAATGACCAGTGGTTACCTTTGAAATTGATCTATGATGTTGTACTTCTCAATTAGATGATTGGATGGTCGTGACATAGCGATTATATCGTCGGTCACCCTGGGATAGGAAAACGTTCATGCTCAGTAAAGTACTTCTTACAGCGTTAGCTCGAACACAGCAACATTTACGAGACTGCAGTTAAATACTCTCACCAGGAGGAGAAAAGGCCTCGGATTTCTTGTTGGTTGAGTTTCCAGCAGTCTGGTCCCTCATAGCGGCAGTCTATTCCTCCACAGGCCAGCAGACAGAGCAGCTTGGGTGGGATGGCTTTCACCAGGTTCTCCCTGGCCTGGGAGTAGGAGGGCCGCGGAACTGATATGTGAGGGGTCAACGTCGGCATCATCCTGCACAAGTGGAAACCCCCAGGATCAACCTTTGTTATCACAGTGTACAGGAGTGCGCCCCAATTGGACCGGCTGACATCCTCATGTCATCTCGTCTTCATAAAGATGCAGCTTAATGTGTGCTATTGCTTTTTGCAGTAATCCTCCTTGCTATGCTACCGTTCAGTTTGCGTACCTCTTGAAGTTTTAAATAGTGTAGGATCGTATCATAGTTAGTAATGATGACTGTCAAAGGAAAAACATAGTTAAGTCAGTGTGAATCTTGTAGGCGACAATAAAGAATGAAGAGGAAGGGTACCATCATCAGCTTTTTCCAGCCTAAAAAAAGAGAGCAGGGAGAGCATCACAGAGAGGAGATGGAGGAGGAAGAGGAGGGAGAACATCATAGAGAGGAGATGGAGAAGAGAGGAAGGTGAAAGAAATGCCTGCAGAGCTCGAACAGTGAAAGGGAAATGAGAGGTCTGATGCTGTCATCTCTTGTACAGCTGGTCCACATGGTATGAATATTGCTTTATACGTCTGAGTACGAAATACACCTGTCACAATAATTAACCTTTTTGGACAAAATATTATCTGATGTCGTCCATCTTTTAATTTTAAGATCATAAGTAGGCCCTTAATTCTTAAGAATACCCAGATATTGGAATTATAGTGTGAAAAAGAATGTCCCAGATAAAGAACATCAAACCACAAACCTAAAACAATAAATCAAATTGATTGGTATCTTGACTCTGTTCGAGATGTGTTGATAGTGTAGTCATTGTGACAGGTCTAACATAAGCATAGATCACACAAACACATATTTCCCAAAACAGTGCATAAAGGAGACATTTAAGTCGTTAAATTTAAGAAACATTTTTAACATATCTAGCATCGTGTCCCCTGCTTTCACCCACTCCCGCGCCGCAACCCTAATGAGGATTAACTTAAATATATGCTATACACATACACACATATGCCACCCCTTTGCACCCCATTAATATTTCTCTACATCCACTCCTGGCTGTTAAGAATATTAAAAAACAACCGCAAAAGATTCAGAATGCTACAGATTTACAACATTCTATATAATAAACTGCAATCAAATCTGAAGCGTACCTGTTTGATCGCGTTGGACAGTGAAGCTGGTAATCCCATTTAATGTATATTCACACTTTCAAACTGCGGAATATGGTGAAAAAAATCAGTTCGACGGAGCAGAACACACATGTGCTCCTCTGTCCTGATACACCCTGGATCCACACACTCACAGAACTGTGTGATGACCCAGCTCCACTAAGCCTGATTAGCTGTCATAAATACATTACAGCACACTCTCATGCATAGTAGCAAGCCAATTATATAATGCTTATACCTTCATCTGTAAACACTGTGTATGTCCTAATTACCCGGCCACCAGTGAGGCGACATACATGCATTGTTGTTAATGTCACTGCTGTTAACAAGCGACAATAGGATTTGTGCTTCCCCTGTAATAACAATATAATGTAACCTGGTCTCATGTCAAAACAAAGCAGCTCTACTGTTGACGAGCAGCTGTCAGCGGTTGAAGTGACGCCTCTTGAAGACACATTTTGTAAAAAACTAAAAATCTGGCTTCATAAAGTCACCAGAATGTCTTCATCTGGAAAGATAACTGCTACATGTCATAAGCCTAATTCCTGCTGAACTGTTGCGAATCACCTCATGTCTCTGCTAATATCTCCCCCTGCAGTGCAGCAATAGGAACAGCATGATGATTATGAAGCCATGAGGTGATTGCGCCTATTAGCCCTCTGTCTGTGATCCCGTCTCCTGATTAAAATATTATTAGCGTACCACATGTTGGATACAATACCCTCAGTCCACGGGTGATACTGTGGACATGATTTGTTTAATTATACTGCTAATTCAGTGAAACCAGGGACAGGGGTGACCTTGACAAATTGAAAAGAAATGTGGTCTCTGCAGCATTTACATTATATGATTATCTTTGATGTCAGAGGGCTGTGAGGGGACTTTCCAAAACCTTCACCTTGCCCTTCTTGACCTAGTTGCTGGTGAATGGTGTAAATGTTCTACTTCATGGATGAGATGTTTGCAGATCTGTATCAGCTGTTTACATCTCCGATCCAGGAGTCGCATAACTGGACGGGATGGAAACACGCTTTAGTTTACATGTTGTTCTGACGGTTTTCTCCAAATGAGGCTTTGTCCCATCGTAAAAAGCAGCCTGATTTCACTTTCGGTTTAGTTGCATTTAGTGGAGTTTTGTGTGCCATTGGCTGCCACACAACCCCAAAGCCCAACATTTCTAAGCTTGACGGCAGTGTGCTTCTCTTTGAACGTATCTTGGTGATTGTGTCCAAGGAGCTCAATTTTAACTTCATCTTTAAACCACACTTCTTTCTAAAAACCACTCCAGATGTTGCTTTAGAGACTTCAGTGTAACGGCACAGCAACACTGTATTCGCTTAACTTTAATGTAACTCGTTTGCAGGCAAATATGGCTGTTTATGTAGGCAAAGGGCATAGAAAAGCCCCTCTGCCTTTCGTTTGGTGCAACTTAACAGAATTACACATTTAGCTTATCATGCTAGCACGCTCTGTCTGCCTTTATCTCTAAGGTGCCATCTAATATCAGTAGCGGTAAGAACAAAGGCAGCCGCAATGTGTGATCAGTATCTTACGCAAAGCAGTGATTTTAATGCAGTCTACAGCTCTGCACTAGTAAAGATTTATCATCTCCTTTAACCTCTTCATGACATTATTTAACAATGAACCTGCTTACATGTCCGTGCTATTCACAACACACAGAGGTAGCTTTCTGTGAAGATAAATCATACTTGAGCTTCAACAAGATGTGGGAGGAAGTGGTTTTGAAATACTTATACGAAATCAGAGACAGAAGACAGAGAACAAGATCTGTTTGCAACGACTTCACTTCCCCTTAAAAGCCACAAAGAATGCCAGTTCGATGTTTTAGGGAGTTAAAAAACTAAATCTGAAAATGAAGAAAGCATCACCGAATTAGACCCTTTATAAAAACAAATAAAATCGACTGTTCTCGACAATAAGTGGAGTCCAAAACACTTCCTTTTTTTTTAACACTAGCTTTATTCAGAGCCTTTTTTTTGTAAAATATTGTTAGAGAATATTTTCGAAGCGTGTCAGCTCCTGCATCTGAAAGCATAGGTTGGAATGTATGTTATGTGTTTCAAGTGGGGTAGAATAATTAAGCACATAATACAGTATTTGCCAGACAGTACAACAAACTTGTAAACACTACGTGCTGCCAAAAAAAAAAAGAAGGCAAAACAAAACAACAAAACCCAACAAAAACATGCTACTTTACTGTGTCGCAATGGCGCTGGCCATATGTCAACACTGAGAAGACACTTCCTTCCTTCTTTTACGTTTAGTTGGTAGAATTTTATGTAAATCCCTTTTTTTCATAGTGATTATTAAAAGAAAAAGGAGGCAAAATGAATGAAGGCAAATTCACAAATGTTCAAACGGGACAAAAAAATCCCAGCTGATCGTAAAGTCAAGTGGCAAAGAAGCGATCTATATTCACACCGGTGTGGTACCGCCGCACCGCACCATCCAACGTAGCACAAAAAGGAAGAGTCTTGTTGCATAATTTGGCCTTGCAAAAGCATAAAGTCACGGAAGCGTCTTAGGAGGGGAGCATGACCTAAGAATTTGATAGCATTACTCTGATTTGTGCAAAAAAAAAAAAAAGGGGACCAGAAGGCACACCGTTTCCTTTTTTGGATCCATGTGATTCCACGCTACTAAACGAAATCACTGCAATCCTTCTCCATCTCATTCTACAAGCCACGGGCCTTTACAAAATGAGTTGGCATGAAATTGAGGACATAGCAGTGAAGAGCAAAGGGTCAGGTCTGTGAGGGAGTCAAATATCCACAAGGGCCTCTGGAGATTAACAGCTTGTGGCAGCCTGCAAATTGTCCTTCACCAAAGCTCTGGGGTTATATTGTCATTCCTCCCCCAACCCCCCACCCTCGCCTCCCAACCTGGGCCACAGAAAGACTACAAGTAAGTCTGGCAATTATACAAGAAGTTGATTACTGCTGCCTAGACAAGAGCCAGGGTGTCAAGTGGAAAAACAACTCCCGTTATTCTGAAATTTTCCTCCAACAGCTCATTTGCTCATCATGAAACCGAATGTGTGATTACAACTCATGTGAGAGGTTTGGAACGAAAGGAGAAAAATAGAGATGATGTCAAGAGATAATAAAGTATTGGTATTGATTATATAAGAAAAAAAACCGACATGTTAATTTTTCCAAAAGATGATTAAGTCGTCCACCAGCCGTGTCCTTTTAGTGAACATTGGTGCTGGAAGACGTTTTGTGTCTGCATCGAATGTCTGTGCCTTCTCTCCTGTCCGGGGGTGTTCTCGCTCTCTCTTTCTTCTGTAACGCCGATCCTTCATTAGTTCTTGGACAATTCTTTGGATAGCCAGTCAAGTCCTTCATACAGCCCAGTGCCCTGGGTGGCGCAGGTAGACTCGATGTACCACTGTGGGGTCAGAGACGACAGGGCAAACAGGTCAGGGTGATATGAAACGCATCCTTACAGGTTTGATTGTTACTCGGGTGAATGGAGTTGGATTCATTTCAAGCTACTCACAGTTTTGTTGCGGAGGGCTTGTAGGCCGAGCTTTTCTGTCAGTTCACTGACTGTTAAGGCATTAGGAAGATCCTGTTTGTTAGCAAACACCAGCAAAACGGCGTCTTTCAGCTCATCTTCCAGCAACTAGAGGGGCAGAAAAGAGAGATGGGAGATATGATGTTAGACCAAAAGACAGAGCAAAGATACTTGTCCTGAGTGTAGAAGGGGATTTCTAAGATCACATGAATAAATGTGTTATTAATGATTTAGAAAAAAAAACTATGTCTGAGAAACATACAGCCTTCAAGGATGTAAATAAATACTGTGGTTTAAGTCCTGCTGAGGATCTTTGTCGTTGCCTTTCATCTTTTCATGGTCTTTGGTCACATAAAGGCAAAAACGGGCCAAAAAAAACCTCAATAGAAACATAAAATCATTCCGTTATTCTGGATTTTTAAAAACATCCAAAGCATAAGGAGTCAATGTAGCAAAATGCGATTTTGCAAAACAGGTTTATACACTTTAAAAAAAAAAGAAAAACCTGAAGGCTTTGCTGGTCAACAGCACTAAAACAAAAAATAAACACATGAAACAATTGCAAGCCAAAATAATTACATCAGACTATTAGAACTGGTAAATAATTCAGAGCAATCATGTCCACTGTCACACAAATTTAGGGCCTATTCATGCTTTCTTTCTGCTTCAATAATGTCTAATCTGCCCCCACTGAGCTCCTCTGCCGACATGGACCAGAGCACCACGGCTGACTGATGCGGCGTATTGTGGTGTGAACTGCATCCACATTTGCCCGAATTAGCATTTGAAACCTTGTGAAAAAGCATTTCAATCAGAGAACATATTTTTCTTTGCACTTAGATCCTTATATTTGGGTAAATTCACACAAAATGTGATCCAATATTCATTTATGTCACAACTAACACAATGTGCGGTTCATAGCGCTGGGAACTGTAGGATTTAATAACTGGTTAAACTGGTTTCTGAGTGATTTCAACTTTTATTCTGTGAAGCAATTCTGTAATAGATCACTTTCAATGAATAGGCTCATTGTCCTGCTGCGTCACCCAACTTCACTTGATCTTTAACCGACAGCAATCCTGACATTATCCTAAAGACGATGGTGAAAAATCAGAACGCTTCCTGTACTGTACATCATCTTTTGGATGATACTCTCATGTTTTTGCTGTAGGTTCTTTCCAACTAATTCACCCTCAGCCTCAAAACATTTTTTAGAGTGTCGAGGTGCTCTTTGGTGAACTTCAACATTTTTCTGAAACACAGAGATTTCCTTCTTCCTCCCCCTTTTTTTTTTTTTAGCATTTGGAGTCAACTGGATGCTCACTTCTGGAGAGAGAAGCTACAGCACGACATCATCTCTAAACAATCTCACTGCAGCCTAATAAATATCTAAACTCCAGCTTTAGAACATGAATCCATTTGTTCATCACTGATATCTGACCATATTTACACATGCAGATAATTCCAGAGGACTCACTTCCTCATGATGGGATATGTCAGTACCACTGAAGCACCACGAGGCAATTATGAGGATTATAAGGGGATTGGGTTCTTGTATTGTTGGATGGCTCAGAAGAAGTCAACATGGTTACACAAGGCTTTCAACCTTCACGGATTAAACATGTAATCTGCATATGAACAGGTCCGACTCAAAAGATTACCAAGTCTATCTGGATATGTTGACAAAATGAAGTTTTGGCGAGGCATGGACAAATAGATAAACACTAATAACGCACTGCTGCCTCTGCTGAGCTGAGCATGTGAAATACCTACCATCTTTGAGAGCTCTTCTGCAGACTCGGCCACTCGTTCTCTGTCGTTACTGTCCACTACGAAGATGAGACCCTGAATGAAAACAAGTGCGGGAGATTAGAAATCATTGTTAGGACACTGTATGAATGCACATGGATTGTGTGTAGACTGGGGCTGGACCCGAATAGCCGACTGTTCGTTCACTGTGATGGAATCAAGATATTAATTTTGATCTCTGAATATCCCCCGCCGCCAACACTGATGACGGATACAGTACTGTGATGCGAAAACGCCAACTTAACTCCTGCCCTGTTGGACCGAATAGTCAGCGCACACCCAGTACTGTGACAGCTAAGCTGAGCACCTAAACTGGTCTTAGTAGCCAAATCCTGCCTGTGCGCCCCGCCCACTTCCAGCCCGTTGGAACCTGTGTGCACGCCCCCACCACCACCTCCCAACTATTCGGGATATTCGTCATTAATTGGGCAGAATATCTAGAGAACGGAAAATGCTATTCAGACCAGCCCTAGTGAAGACTACTGGTGTGTAAATTACAAAAATATTCCAGTTTTATATGATACAAGATCTAACAACAGCATTAGTTTTAAACATGGAAGAAGTGCAACGACTGTATTTTATTAACTGATCCTAACATATTATAATCCAATAACATAAGAGGCACTATGGAATTAGTTTGTAGAAATGTGAGTGTAAAATCATTAACTTTAATCAACAGTATTAATGCAGCCAAAGAGAACAAAAGAAGGTCCTTTAACAAATATACAGTAAAATCCTTGAACAAACAAACTCACATTAATTAGACTGACATTAAGTTGAAACTGTGCCACACATTCAATTTGGTTTAGTTCAGTATTGTATTGAATAGCTTCTGGTTTGTCAAAATAAAAACAGCTTTACTTGGTGATCTAAGTAGAGAAGTTTGAAACCAGTACTGCTGCTCAGGAACACATGATTATACTAAACATGAGGTTACACTGCGTTACCAAACCAAAGCTGCTACAGCACTGAAGCAGTCACACATTCATACCTGTGTGTTCTGGAAGTAGTGTCTCCACAGGGGTCTGATCTTGTCCTGGCCACCCACATCCCAAACAGTGAAACTGATATTTTTATACTCTACTGTCTCCACATTAAAACCTGGAGAGGGGAAAGAAAACAGTTAATGATGCTATATGTACAAATAAAACAATAACAGAACCACAAACTTGAACATTTAAATAGGTGAATCTCTTACCAATGGTTGGGATAGTGGTTACGATTTCGCCGAGCTTCAGCTTGTACAAGATAGTCGTTTTTCCTGCAGCATCCAGCCCGACTGTGGGGAAAGACATTTTGATTCAAAATCAGCATTTACGTCAGTAGATTGCACAACAGGCGTTGTCCTGGAGGTGTAGTCATCACACAGCACACGACATAAAATACAGTACAAGACAAAGTAAATCAGCTCTGTTGAGACATTATCAGAACAATTACGTAAGCTGATCTTACTGTAGGGACTTCATTCATATCATATCACTACGTATTTGTCCAGAAACAAGAAGCACAATGACAAAAACTAACATCATAAGGAGTTAAATGCCTAATAGCAAGGTGGAAAACAGCAAACACCACAACAGATTATCTATTAACAAGTTATATATTTCAGATCAATGATCAACAAGTGGCTATTCTGTAAAGTAGGAAGTAAATACTCTGTCAAGGGGACGCAGTAAAACCTAAAATAACAGAACAAGCGCTGCCCTGAGAGTCCAGTCATCACACAGAACAGGACATAAAACAGTACAAAGCCAATTATCTCAAGTGTCAGAACAATTATTAAAGCTGGTCTTGCTACATTACCGTCATCTACAAGATATCACCGGAAAAAAAACCTATAAAACAAACTCCATAAGGATTTAAAGACCCAGAACCAAAGGAGAATTTATGTATTTTAAATAGATTATCAACACGTGTCTAAATGTTAACAGAAGTTAGAGCTGAAAGTTAATGTTCTCTAAACGTGACAGTATAAAAGCGACAATAACACAACGACGTTTTCCAGGAGTTTTTTTTTTTTGGGGGGGTCAAACTTCCTTTGGAAAAAACACCAACAAAAACTAATAATGTCACAGTTTTTTCAAATGATAGTCACTGAAAGGCTTTTTTTGTGTATGTGTGTGTATTTTAAATTCGACTTGTTTCCTATTATATTAAATTTAAAGCTTGACCACCACGAAAGCTCCTCAGAAACTAGCTAAAAAAAAAAACTGCTACCAACTCCTCGAGCCTCGGCTAAAGCTAAAGCCGTTAGCCAAACACGGCGGCCGCCACTCACCCATCAAAATCCTCATCTGCTTTTTGCCAAACAGTCGGCCGAAGATGGACGAGATGGTGAGTCCCATGGCTGGCCGTGGAGGTGTCAATCTGTGGCGGTAGCGGTGATATTAGCCCGCAGACGGAGAGCAAAGTGTGGCGGTTTACTCTGGTCCGGCTACTGTGATTTCCACACCAGCCTGCTGCCGACTGCCACGTCCGGGCCAACGTGGAACACACGACGTCACCACTTTGAATCAACTTTATCGACACCAACACGAAGACAGTGGACACAGTAGTTTTCAGGAACATGTTGGAATATTGTGTTGTCTTTGAAACAAGCTAAATTAGCTGGATGTAGATGCACAGCACATTAGCTTGTATTATGATTAATGTGAAACAATATATTTGTTATTTTATTAATAACGAGGACTACGGATGGAGCTTTAAGCTAAATATGGCATATTTATATAAAGCCATTGTACTGTATGTGTTCATTAATATGCACTGTCCTCTTCCAAATAAGTGAAATAAAAAAAAAAATACAATAAAATAATCAAGCAAGTGCATAATTGTACCTGCCATCAGGATAGCAGTAGTACTATTAATATTACATTGTATATACACTTACAACAGCAAGAATGTATATTTATTTAGTGTTATATTTTATTTTTTTATTTTACTTTTCATATTAATACTTTATATTTTATTATATACCTTTACTTTCTACTTCTTTAAGCAAGCATCTGCAACTGAAAGCGATTTCCCCGAGGGGATCAATAAGGTATTTCTGATTCTGATTGTACCTAACCTGGTTGTTTTAATGCATAAAGAGCTTTCAAGGACATCTTTCTCTCATAAAATGTAGTTTTCCAGCTTTTTGTGTGTGTGTGTTATTATTTATTTTCATGCATTTTGCTGCATGATATATAAAGTCGTCCTCAAATGTATTCATACCCTTCCATTAAAGAAAAGGCAAAATTCACAATAGTCACTCAAATAAGTAGAAACTAAAAAAGTAATAATAAATAAAAAATTTGTTAAATTAGAATTTAGTGAAATAAGACATTGCTTTTGAATTTTTGGTTGAAAAGAATAATTAAAAAATAAAAAAAATTGTCCCGGACAAATCAGAGCACTTTGCTGATGAGCATTGGGCCAAAATCAAAATACCTGTCACCAGGTGTAGAAGTCTGATTGACAGTTTGTTTTCTATATTTCTCTTGAACCACAATTCAAAAGCAATGTCATGATTTCATTACATTTTTATTTATTATTACTTTTGGAAATTTCAACTTATTTCAGTGACAGCTGTTTTTTTCTTCTTCTTTTTTAATGGGAGGCTATGAATACATTTGAGGACGACTGTATGCAGGTCATTGTATTGTAGTTATATTAAAAGAAATGCAATACAGCTTGCTATTAATGAGCAATGTACATTTGTGCTAACATGATTCTTTTCTTGTCTTTTCAGGATATGACAGGTTTTCTTTTAATTTCGGTGATACCTGTGATGATATTTTGCTCTGTGAGTCAGAAGCATCACATTACCTTATGAGGAAGTCAGACCATTTCCAGTTTGGTAGCAATATAGCTGTAACTTCACATTGCTCTCTAAAGATAGTGACAGTAAGTTTACACCTGCCTGGGCAGACTGTAATGTTTTATTTTTATTTCAGGTCATTTACTACAAAGTTGGTCAATGGTATGAAAGACATGAGCAGACATGTTTTGTTTTGGTTTTGTTTTACCACAGAAGACATGGGCCTAGTTAGTTATGTTGTTGTTGATATTCTAAAAATGTTCTGAGACAGTTCTGCAAAGTTCTAGTCATGTTTTCAGTGGGAAGTTTTCTTTTAGTTTATAGAATGTTCTTGTTAAGGACAGGATAAAGATCTCCAAGGAGATTAAAAAAAAATAAAAAATTCTTAAGATGTTTTCTGAACATTGCATCGAGAACGTTCTTCCTTTTTCATCACGTAACATTGCAGGAATGTTTCATAGAAGAACCTGCTCATCCCCGAAACATCCTTAGAATATTGCAGGAAAACTAATATGTCATATGTCCTCTGAGGCCTGGACAACATCTGGAAAACGTTTTCTAAATGTTGCTTTGAGAATGTTCTCCTTTTTTTATAATGTAACATAATCTGTCGGCATCCTCCAAACATCCCCTAAACGCTTTCTTTCTTAGTTCTCATTTAAATTCATACAAACATTATTTGAAATGCTAAATATCCTTAAAACGTACTTTAAAGAATGTTTTCCTAAAAACATTATGAGAGCTTGTAGGTAATGTTTGCCTGTGTTTTCTTTGGAAACAATAGGATATTTGCAAAAGACATCATTTCTTTATGGTATTTCTTTGTAATGCATAAAACCCTTCGGTGAATCATATTAACTACCATCCAAACTAGGGCATGTGTCGCCTGAACACTGGGGGAAATCCTTATTATGCCTATAATAATCATGTCAATATAATAAACATGTTTCTCCGGAAAGCACCATAAACTACAAATATCACTTTGGTCACAAGTGCAATGTTAATGTTTCTCAAAGACACAGTTTCGCTACTATGCACAGACATAAAATCAGGTATTTGCACGTTTTGATTGTTTGATTGAGATAAAAATAGCTTTTGGCACAACATGTGTTACAGAAAGAAAACTGCTCCATATACTGTAGCCAAGACTGGTTAGAATGGACGAGATGATACCAGAGAGGTTAAAAAGTCTTTAAAACACAAGCTGTGATATCGTTGTTCTATTTGTGAAAATGTCAATTCAAATCAATTCATTTAATTTTTTATGGAGATTTTTTTTTAGACCACGCTAGACCTAGTCCAGATAATGAAAAACACACTATCTAGTCTAGACTCGGGGCTGCAAGGTGGCTCGGTGGTTAGCATCGTTGCCTCACAGCAAGAAGGTCGCCAGTTCGTGAGGACACCCGGGATCTTTCTGCGTGGAGTTTGCATGTTCTCCCCGTGCAGCGTGGGTTCTCTCCGGGTTCTCCGGCTTCCTCCCACTCAGTCCAAAAACATGTTGAGGTTAATTGGTGATTCTAAATTGTCCGTAGGTGTGAATGTGAGTGTGCTTGGTTGTCTGTCTCTAAGTGTAGCCCTGTGATAGACTGGTGACCTGTCCAGGTGTCCCCTGCCTTCACCCTGAGTCAGCTGGGATAGACTCCAGCGACCCTAGTGAGGATTAAGCGGTGTATAGATGATGGATGGATGGAACATTAGGTGTAAAGTTTTAAAATAAGAACTGCGGACTGCATTTGTTGCATGTAGCCCAGGTTCAGAGCTAAAACCACAACATACCTGGACTAGAATAGAGGCCAAAAGTTTTCTAAAACACATTTTTTGATTTGTGAAAGCTTTATTCGAGTTGTGAAAATACAGAAAAATAGATTATCCATTGTGGTTTTAGGTCTTTACCTGATCCAATGTGGTCTACATTAAAAACAGGCATCTCCCCTTTTTTGTGTTTTCTTCAAAACAAGGACTATATTTTAAAGACTCTTTGTCCTCTTAGTCCTGATTTGAGCAGGAGAATCGTTCGCTGTTACTTAAGCTTCCATTAACTTTCCCCTGAATTATAGAATCAGGAGCTAATTTCTTTTACACTTTTGTTTAGAAAATTCCCACTAGATGTCCCTGTTCGTCTGCTACACAAGTCAGCAGTGAACCGTTGAAGTTTGAATTCAGTCCACAGCTTCCTTGTGCAGGAAAACCAAGTCACCCATATTTAAATGGTGCAATTAAAACAGCCTTTGAGCCAAAGTGTTCTCCAGCTCAAAAATAAAATTATGAATTAACCTAAGAAGTTAAAATATCAGGGTTAAGACCTGACAGTGTTGTTTAGGATGTAAATTTCCCTGAGTTATACATACTGTGCTTAAAACCTGCAAAAAATACAGATTGACCTAACAACATTAAATTGTAAGATTAAGACCTGCCAGTATAATTAAAAATGAGGATGTCCCCAACTAATTTAAAACAAAAGTCAATGCCCTATTAAAAAAAAAAATAAAAAAAAGTACATGGAAAACCCAACAAATCCAAATATTTCCTATGAGCAGCATTTTGGCAGCAATGAAGAGTAAAAAAATTCCTTTTAACAGCAAGAGCTGGCAGAATAAGGGTCAGGGATGATGAATATCTGCCTTGGTTGAAGGTGAAAGAAGAGAAAGAAAAGGAAAGCAAACAGAATACAAACAAGACAACATCAACTCTGGACCCGCTGGTCAGATCTGTGCAGCTCCAGAGAGGATTTATTGTAGAACAGGAGGCTGTCGGAGAGTTTGGGCACGATAACCAGAAAAAACCCAAAAACAACAACGAAAGGACGACTGTGAAGGTGAAGCGTGATGATGACCTGAGTGGCTTAGGGGCAGAACACTGCGGTCATAATGTATATTGGAGCTGAACAATTAAAGGTTTTAAACATTTTTAAAGCATTTATTATTTTGTAACACTGGGGGGAAAAAAAAGGCGACAATCACGAGGGTAAAAGCCCCAAAAGAGTCCAGAGAAAATCCATTTTCATTATTCCTAAGTGCCTTCATTTCATGGTAGACTGCAGACAGGGAGAGGACTATTTCCTGCCCACCTGGGGATTCCCACGTGTATGAGCACACCTTCGAAGCAGGCGGAGTCAAAACAACATCATGTGACCACGTTTTTCAGACCTGTGCTTTGATAAGAACTAACATTGATACAACGGACTGCTATGGAGACAGGTTGTTCAGCTGTGCACATATCGAGTGTTGGATAGACTGACTGGCATCATGGTGCTCAACGGGACACTGAGTGAACATCAGGTGAGCAATCTCAGCTTTGTTATGGACATCAGGATTTACATTTAAAAAGCTTCTTTGCATGAAAACATGTTTGAATTCTGTTTTCCAGATTGATGCTCTCTCCTACGTCTACATGGCGTTCCTCACTCCCAGGTAATGAGATTCCTTATGCTTTTCCTAATTGTCTAAGTTGTGATTAAGACCATTCAGCTATTACTGTCAGTTTGCCAGATGTCACACCTCAGTTTGTCAAACCAGCAGGGCAAGACATAATGAGAAGAAGCTTGTATTTTCCTTCTGAATGCCTCCAGTGTTGTTACGTAAAGCCCAAATAATTGTCTGACGTTTAGAAGGTGAAGCTGTAGCTCGCTTCATGCAGGCGTAGCTACGAAAAACTTCCTTGAGCGTTCAGTCAGAATGCAAAACGATGAGCGAGGGCACGAACAGGCGAGGGAGAAAACGTGACAAAAAAAACCGTTGTACACTTTGAACCTCTTGTAAGTTTCTACGATGCCTGAGCGGAGTTATGAGCTGCACTTTAGAGCCTGTATGCAGGTGTCACATGTGTCTGAGATAAGCCAAACAAAGATGTCCCGTCTTGTTCTGCACCACAATAAACCTGCACTGGTGGCAGATTATAGCCTATAGTTATTTGCTGTTATTTAATGTGATGATGTGATTTTTTTTTGCAGTCTAATTGGAAGTTTTTCTGTCCTGGTGGTTTCCATATGCAAATGGTGGCATCTACAGGAGCAGGTGAGTCAGGTGTTGTGTATTATTACACTGGTCAAAGTTTTTTGAGCTGATTTTGGACAATTGCAATGTGCTGAAACCAAATAGTACATTGGTTTTGCTCAATGAGATCAACATTTTGATTTGATGAAACATGCAGTTTACTTGTATTTAACTTTACAAATGTTTGCGCTCATCAACTTTTGGATCATTTAGCTTGTGGAAAGGATGAGAAAATGAAATTTTTCCTGTAAAATCTGGTTTCATATTAGAAATACTAAAATAAATCAATTTCTAATATCAAAAAATGTCATCGATTTAGTGGTAAAATCGATATTTGGCTTAAAAACCTGACCTGATGCAGTCATTTTTGGATTCAGCGTTGCAAAAATGTCCTAAATCAGTTTTAAAAAAAATCCTAGACACCTTCAATTTTTTTGTAACCCAATGTTATAATAAAGATTTTAGATGTTTGTTGGTGAAGCTTGTCACTTCCAACTTAACCCTGTGGTTTAGTGGCATGACAGGTTTTCCTACGCATAGCACAGTTTTACTAAAGTGGAACGCCCCACGTGTTTGTGTTCAGGTGCATCTCCTCGTGCAGCTCGCTCTGGCGGACCTCCTGGCCGCTCTGATCCTGATGTACACCAGCGTCATGAACAAAGTTTACAATGACCACGGCGTGGAAATCTGCGAGTACAGCTTGCCGCTGTCACTGGTAAGGAACAGTTACCTGTGTTAGCCCTTGCTCCTGCCGATAAATCATTTACAGCATGTCGAGTGGATCACAGTTTATCCATTTATAGGTCAAAGTGAAGCAGAGATTCTGTGATGAAAGCATCCACTTTTCTGCTAAAGTATTTTCCAGATTTGAAAATCAGATTACTGTTTAATCAGATAACGGCAGGAGTTCCCCCACACGTGTCGGTCCATTCTGACAGTAAAATGAGTCAAAATCGTGTGTTTCTGTTGCGTCTGTAAAACTAAGTAGTGAGCATTTATGTAAATGTCTATCATCAGACTGAGAGGACGACGTGCAGCTTATCGTCTGAGTCACATACAATTATCTGAAGATTTCAAAGTGTTAAATGCGTCTACAAGTGCGTTGTAAACTGGGTCAACTTTATTCTAAAGGTCACATATTACAGTGATAAGTGGTAAGAGCAGAGCAGATATCGATTTGACATAAAACAGAAAAGAATGTAATGTGGAAACACAAACAGCATTTCACTTCTGTTTGCGAATTTCTTTCAAAATGCAGATATGGAAAAATGGGGTTACATTTCTAGATTTATTCATACGGAAGTGCAGTTGAACTTGGAATTAATCATTTCCCACGTTTTATCACATTGTTTTGTCACAGATGAAGAATCTGCAGTCGACATTGCAATGAAGCTGTTTTGAGAAATAACAGAATGAGTTCAATTATAAAGGACAGAGAAGATGATATCATCCCACTGTTAACTACTAATATGTCATGTAATATTAGAGAATCAATTATAAGCTCATCTACATTCCAAAATTTAGTCTATTCAGCCCAGAATACCGAGATATTTACTTTTCCCCAAGTGTAAGTAAACAGCTATACACTGTATATATGTAGAGACAGTGTTTATATAGTCAACTAAAGACTTGATATATTCTTCCTCTAATTCTAACAAAGACTCTACAGAATTCACTATATCACCATTTTTTCTATTTAAGAGATTTTGTATTTCTTAACGGCTTCACACAAAAGAGGATGTTCCGCGAGAATTACTGAAACTTTTTTTTTTACAAGCAGCTTATCTACAAAAGATAATAAAAGCGTCCTCACAAAAATTCAATAAAGATCGTCCTCATAAAGATAAAGAACAAATGTCTGAACATGATCCCGACACCTCACTCGGCCACTAACCCTAAAATAACCTTTTTAAAATGAAGTCATTTTTAGGACTGTGAAGCAGGACAAGGACTTTGTTTATGAGCTTCTCAGCATTTGCAGCAGTTGATGATATTTGACTGACTCCTGTGACATTTAATATAAAAAAACGAGAACGTGTTCATGTATAATCAGTTCGTCTTGATGCTGCACGTCGTCACCTTTTGCGTCGTTCTTCGTCCAGACCTTCTACACTACGTCATTTCTGTTGGTGGTCGTTTACGCCTGGAAGTCGAAGAACGGAATCCAAGGATGGAGAGAACGAGCCACGGATGATGAGGCTGTACAGGTGAGAGGCATTTGCAGATGAGAATTTAGTCTAGAAACTGTCGAGATTGGGTGATATTAAGTCTTTCCTCATCTGTCTTGGTTTACAGAGTCACTGCAGACGAAAAATAGTAGCTTTCCCTGTGTATGCTGTCGTGTGGTGAGTCTGTCAACCTCCTATTTTTAAATATCGTAGCTTTAACTAACCCAGTGGTTCTCAAACTTTTTGAGCCATGACCCCCAAGATAACATAAGTTTGTGTTTGAATTTTTAATATATCACGAGTAATAACTTTGCTGTTCATGCATTAATGTGTTAAAAATTAATGTGCCTATTCCACAGATTCATCTCTTTATAATAACACATTAATTTTCTTTTGAATTAATGAATTTAATTTATTTCGAACAAATGTAAGGGGGAAAAAAATGTAAAAACAAAAGAAAATAATTTTAAAAAGAGCAAAAAAAAGAATAATAATAATATCGCATAATCAAATCATAATGTTAACAAAATCAAAAAAAGGAGCGGGAAGATGTGCACACTTTTAATTTTGACAGCCCTAATACAAATTTATTTGATAAATGCCGGCTTTATTTTATTTATTTATTTATTTAACCATGATCTGACGACCCCCTGAAATTATCTTGGGACCCCCATGGGGCTCCCGACCCCCAGTTTGAGAACCGCTGAACTAACCCACAGTATTCAGGATGTCATCCCTGACGGACACAGCTTAAGTTTGCCTCTCTTGCATTAACACAGGTTGATCCCGCTGGCCATGTACTTGGCGTATGTGCTCACTCCTTTCATGAAATCTGCCTTGCTGGTTCCAGCCACCGACAAATCGCTGGTTCAGGACTCCATCGACAATGAGCGCACATACTGCAGCAGGTGAGCGCAGAACCTCTTTCAAAGTCTTTTTTATTTTCCCCCAAAGAAGTTGCAGCAATGAAACAGCTCTGTTCCCTTGTGTTTTTGACCTTTTTGTAATTTTTCTTTTGCACAGTTGTTTGTTGTTCTTGCATGTCTGGAAGGATTCCTGCTCAGGTCCTGTGAGTATAAAAGTTTATTGTGATACTCTTTTATGCACTTGCTTGAACTCGTATTTTGTCACGTGTGTTCCTTTCAGTTTGCAGTGTTTTATTTCCATGTAACTGTATTTTAATTATACTAAAAGAAAAGCAAAACAGCTTGCTATTAATAAGGATATTTGCGCTAACGTGATTCTTTTTTTTCCTCCCAGGAGGAATTCCACGACACTTTCATCAGAGTTTTTCTTTTCGTGGTGGTGATACCTGTGATGATATTTTGCTCTGTGAGTCACAAGCAATCACGTTACCTTATGAGGAAGCTAGACCATTTGTCTTTACAATTTGGTAGCAATATAGCTGCACATTGCTCTCTGAAGACATTGACAGTATATGTGCCTGGGCAGACTGTAATGTTTTATTTTTATTTCAGGTCATTTACTATAAAGTTGGTAAATGGTATGAAAGACATGAGCAGGTGGGGTTTTTCCCCGTGGAGGGAGATGGACGTTCAAGACGGAGATTCAAGACAGTGTATTCTACAGCGAGGAAGATGGTGATGGTCATCTTAGCCTGTTGGACGCCAGGTAAACACACACACACACACACACACACACACACACACACGTCACGTTTAAAACTGATGTAATCGCCAGCTGTAGATTGACATCTTGTGTTTCTTCCTCCTGCAGCTCTTGTCCTCATTCTGCTGTCTACCCTGACGATCTGGACAAGTATCAAACAACGCGACTTGTTTTTCCTTTACATACTACAGGTAGGTTTCACAGGAACATGTCCTGATTTCAGTGAAGAAAACAGAAAGCCACAGTAATACAACTGCTTTTTCAGGCTGCCTGCGTGTCTATACAAGGTTTCGCGAACAGCATGGTTTACGCATGGAGACGACCCAACTTCACGGATGCCGTTCTCGGGGAGTACACACCGCTGATACAAAATCCTCTGCCTTTCTTTGATGAATCGCTGAGGGCCTCGTCTTGACTGCCGAGCACTTTGAGGGACGTTGTTGGACGGCGTCACAACATGCTGGCCTTACGAAGACTGACTCCCTGCCTGCACTTCATGACTTTGTAATAAACTGAGACTGAAACACACAATGTCCTCGGTCGTGGATGGACAATGAAGAGAGAGAAAAAAAAAATGAAGGAACACAACAAAGACTGTTTGAACAAACAACTGAGTATTTGTACTGCAGCTGCTGATTTTGTCGTGTATTAAACAAACTCATATTAGCATATAGTAGCATATTAAAGTGGGATACCTCTGGATAAATTGTACAATTTTGTTGTATTTATATATTTGTTATCAATATACTGTTTTATTAAAGATTTTAAATAAGTCATAGAAAGTGAAAGCCTTTTTAATGTGTGTCTGATTGCTATTTTATTAGATTTTTATCATCAAGGTGCTTTAAAACCACTCGTTTTATTGGTGACTTGGTATCCCTCAGAACTCAGAACATGTAAAACCTGCTCGGCTTGCCTTCTTTAAAGTCACTTTTATGTCTCACCAGCAGTTCAGTCTCAGGAGTCCATGTGTTGGAGCACTGAGGAATGCAACAAAGGGAACACAATGTCTCTTATGTCATACCTGTGTGCTACCACAACTGTTAACGTATCTAATAGAAAAAAATCACTTGTGTTTGAGCAACTGAGGTCACACACAAGGCATGCCTGATACAAGGTCGTTCGCGTTTACATAAAGCCGTGAGCAGAAGTTGACATACACCATGTATGTCATGGTAGTCTTGTGTTTCCAGTGACTTCTACAACTTTTAAAGGAATGATGACAAAAAGTAATCATAAACTTTGGTTCTTTCTTAGATGTATTACTGGTCTTGAGTTTTGGTGATGTATAAAGTTGTGTTAATCAAATGTTCTTAGTGACATGACCTTCTACTGTTTTTGTGAGTGATTACAATCGACTACACTCGCTGACTTTTCTGAGTCGATTTAAATAGGGCCCATTTGATACATTGATCAGTGCGTTCAGCCACAAACACTACAGTAGGAAAGTCTAAGGACCTGAAGAAGCAAGTCAGTGTCTTGAACGAGTCAGGAAAGTCACTTGGAGCCATTTCAAAGAAGCTTCAGATCCCAAAATGAACTGTGCAAACCATCCATCCTTCCATCCATCCATCTATCCATCCATCCATCCATCCATCCATCTGCTTATCCAGGGTCAGGTCACAGGGGCAGCAGGCGGAGCAGGTAATTCCAGACTTCCCTCCCCCTTGGGGACGCTTTCCAGCTCTTCCTGGGCGATCCCAAGGTGTTCCCAGGCCAAGCGAGAGATATAATCCCTCCAGCAGGTTCTGGGGTCTGCCCCGGGGTCTCCTCCCAGGTGGACGTGTTCAGAAGACCTCCAGAGGAAGCCTCCCTGGAGGCATCCGAATCAGAAGTCCAAACCACCTCCACTGTGCAAACAATTGTTTATAATTGTTTGCACAAAAGTCTTATTTGACAAAAGTCAAATAAGAATCACGAATCGGAAGTGTCTGGGACACGGGTGTCGATGTCCACGGTGTTTCACATCACCATGGGCTGAGAGGCTGCCATGCAAAACGAAAACCCTTCCTCCAGAAATGGCACCTTAAGGCTCAACTAAAGTTTGCCGCTGATCACATGGATGAACAAAAGTCTTTCTGAAGTCTTGAATCTGTGGTCTGTGCTGGAGAAACATGTCAGACTGATCAAAGATACAACCAGAAGCTTGTGGACAGCTACCAAAAGTGCCTAAATTAGGTGAAAATGGCTAAAGGACATTCAGATTTCAGGACACCCATAATAAATCTATGAAAGAACCAAAATTGCTGCACTCTGGAGCACTTTGTCTTCAAGGACGTCTCTGTATTTGGCTGCATTTATTCTTCTCTCAGTTCTGACCAGTCTGTCCGTTGTTTAGAGGCACCCCGATAGCGTGATGCTGCCGCCAACATGCTTTGCCAAAGTGATGGTTTTAGTCAAATGATGAGCACTTCCTAGTGTTTTCCAGCCATAGTGTTTGTCGTTCTGTACAAAAGGTTCAATTGTTGTCTCATCTAGAGAAAATTCCCCCTCAAGGTTTTACAGTTGTTTAAATGCAGTCTGGCCTCTGTGCTCATGGGAACTTTGAAAGCTTTTGAAATGTTTTTATTACCCTGATCTTTGCTTCGCCATAATTTTAATCACAGAGGTATAAAGTGAGTACCTTGGATGTTGTTGCTCGGTTTTTAGCCTTATATGAGGTGTAAATTGTGGGACCTAAAGTGTCTCCCTTTCTAAGCCAAGTCCAACGTACAGTATGTTTATATCCACACACCAGTGGCAAGTCTAGACACATTACAAGAACCTGACTACAATGTGACGTGCCACAGCCAGGGGTGTGAACACTAGGCTTTCGGTTTTATAGGTTAAGTGTTATTCTAGCTGCTAAAATAAATATTTCCAATAAAATGAATGTAAATGTGTGTCCAAAAAAAAAGAAAAATTACGCCATGATTTCAAACAGTATACAACAGAAATGAGCTCATGCCGGTGCGATATCACTTGAATGTCTAGTGTTGAAACCACAGACTGTTTGCATGATCTAGTTTCTCCGACAGCTCGGGCAGAGTGAAGCGTATAATGTCAACCCGTATGGATGACTTCCAGGAAACAACTCGGCACAAAATTGCAGGATAAAAGAACACGAAAAGACCCAGATGAATACTGGGAGGACAATCGTTGGTCAAAGGAGATCAAGTCAGATTTGTTCAGTTCAGGGGTACAACATGTTTGGCATGAACCTGGTCAGGACTACCGCAGTGGATGCACAATCTCAAAGACCAAAGACATAAGAAAGTGATGATGTGCATGAAGGCAAAAAGGAGATGACATTTATAGATGGCACCATGGATGTCTGTCGATATACCAAAATACTGGCTGACAAGATGACTCTGAGTCTGCAGAAGCTTGTCAGAAAATGAATATTCAAGCTTGATAATGAGCCAAAGCAACGCTGCCAAAACCCCACAAAAGGTTATAAAGACTTCTAAAAAAAAAATATGACCTGCCAAGTGTGTCGCTTTGGAATATTTATCAGACAAAGGCAAAGAAATATGAACCGACCAGCAAAGAGCGGCTGACAAAAATGTTTCTGAAGAATGACATAATATTTCTTTTTTTATAAATGTGTGTAATGCTGGTATCCTGCATGCTTCGAAGGTTGGAGTCTGTCATCAAAAACCGAGTCGGGCAAAAATGTGACTTTTGCTGCACTGAGTTCCTACTGGGAATGCAATGAATCCTTCCATCCATCCATTATCTATACACCACTTAATCCTCACTAGAGTCACGGGGGGGCTGGAGTCTATCCCAGCTGACTCAGGGTGAAGCCAGGAGACACCCTGGACAGGTCACCAGTCTATCACAGGGATGCACTTAGAGACAGACAACCAAGCACACTCACATTCACACCTACGGACAATTTAGAATCACCAATTAACCTCAACATGTTTCTGGACTGTGTGGGAGGAAGCCAGAGAACCCGGGGAGAACCCACGGGGCTGCACGGGGAGAACAAGATCCTGGGTGTCCTCACCGGGACGCGAACCGGCGACCTTCTAGCTGTGAGGCAACAGTGCTAACCACTGTGTCACCTTGCAGCCCTAAATGAATCTTAACTGCTAAAGAAAATGTTTACCTCTGAGTAAATATGCTGCTGTTTAACTTGTAGTTACTTAGGGGTCACACAATGTTGAATCACGTAACGTTTAGGTGACATTGCACAGCGGTGTGCTAACGTCTGTTGTATACTGTGTGAGGTGTAACATAAAAAAAAATGCAGTGGCTGATAACCCCAGCTATTATCACAGATCTAAATTGCTGTCATTTACCTGAGATAAAAAAAACAGTCTGCACCTGTTGGCATAATTTTAATATCTTTGTGGCCATCCATTATCTGACTTGTCCCCAATACCTTTCCCATTCATGGATGTCGTGCTAAAACCAGTGACCATGAACTACAAAATCCGATGAATCATATTCCCTCTGACACAAGGCCAGCGTACAGAAGCAGCACATCATAACGACCGACCCATTTGCACTCTTTATCATAGCTCCATCGTATTTCTCATGTGTAGAAAGTAGCAAACACAGCGTTGAGTGTTCTGGAGCACATCAGACAAATCTTAAAGGTCAAACACCAAGTGCACGGTGGGACTCGGTGGCATTAAACAGCGGCACCGAGAGCATTTGTTCATGCGTTTGTCTGCCGCTCCGCAGTTGACTCCATTAATTATCTGCCTAGCGAGTTTTCTGAATATGATAAATGAAGCGCACATATTTGCTGACTAAACTGTCACGCTTTCTAAATGTGGTATGTGCTCCAGCTGCAGGGTTGTGTAACCAGTCTGGTTGTGCCTGTGTGGGAATTTCAGAGACGCTTCGGTGTTTCCGGTGGACACAGAGCAAGTTAGAACAAACAGATTCTAATATAAGGCGTAGTGGGTCCAGCGTCGGATGACTGTGTCTACAGTCCAAATGAAACCACAACAAAGTTTTCTAATGTCTGACAACGGCAGGTGTGGTGATAAAGATTTTTATAGCTTTAGTGGTTATATAACTTGAATTCAGAGCACCATGCTTTCATTAGCTAAAAGCTTTACCAGGTACTTTTCCAACCAGCTGATCGGTGTGACACACCTGTGAGCAGAGTCCAGTCCTCCATAATAAATTAAAACTTGCTCTAAATCAGAGGCAAGATGAGACTTCTCCTTAACCAATGGTTGAAGAAATTAGCGGTTTATTTTCATACATGTAATAATGAATCAAACAAAAACTGAGAGGTAATCTTTGCATTGACGGGTTAAAATGTCATCACACTTCCTCTTGAAACATCTTTTTGTTCTCTTCAAAACACACATCAACAAAAAAAAAATCCTTGACAGTAAAATGTATTTAACGAAATACATCAATAACAAGAAACAAAACACGGCATCTGTCTTCACTTTTACACGTTTATCACAAATAACGAACTCCCCTGCTGGCTGGTTCAGAGTCCGAGCAGATTTTGGCAAAGCTTGAGTATCTTGAGTTCCTTACAGTTACCGGAGCGCTGCTCTTTGACAGACTCTGCGTTTTCCAAACTCACTGAGACAAATGGAGAAAAAAAAAAAAGTGTCGAGTGAAAGTGATCTCCTTTCATTTTTTTACACAGCTCTGCACAAAAACTTGCTGCAGTATTTACCGTGACGTCTCGCCTTTTCTTGTTTTAAAAATCCATGGACAAGGATCTTTGCTGAGCCATTTCGTAGTTGCCTCTTCGGTTTCCCGCTCTACGCACATACACATCGTACCTCCCGTCCTCCTCCTCGTCTTCGTCCTCTTCCATAACTCTATCCTGCCGCCCCAGCGATCTCTCCCCGATACCGTGATGGCTCTGCATTCGGCCCGGTTTCATACTGGGCCAGCTCTTCTTTCGCAGACTGCTGTTCAAGTCTCTGAAGGGAGGTAAGGCGCTCTGGAAGTCCCCTCTGAAAGGAGGAAGCTCCATGGATCCCCTGCCCAAGCCATGTGCACCTTGGCTGCCTTTGATGGAGTTGATGGAGGCCTGAGAGCCACAGTGGTGTTCGTGAATGCAGCGTGATCCTGATGAAGATCTCCGGAGGGCCTGTAGGGACTGGAGTTCTTCTGATAGCTCCCCAAGGTCCCCAGACATCTCCTAAAAAAAACAATAATGTTCTTGCATTTGCAATTTCAAAACAAAACAAGCATGCACACATACAGCCGTCCTCTGATTTATTCATAGCCTCCCATTAAAGAAGGAGAAAGCTGTCACTGGAATAAGCTGAAATTGACAAAAGTAATAATGAATAAAAATGTAATGAGAATCATGACATTGCCTTTGAATTGTGGTTCAACAGTAACATTAAACAAAACAAACATGATGGGACCCGTAAACTAATATTTTGTTGAACAACCCTTTGGTTTATTTATTGGTATTTTGATTTTGGCCCACTGCTCATCAGCACAGTGCTCTAATTTGTCTGGGACGTTTTATTTATTTATTTTTTTAAATTATTCTTTTCAACCACCATTCAAAAGCAATCCGTATTTCACTAAGTTATAATTTAGCAAATTTTTATTTATTATTACTTTTCTAGTTATTTGAGCGACTGTTGTGAATTTTGCCTTTTCTTTATTGAAAGGTGATGAATAAATTGGAGAGGACGGCTGTAATAATGCGTCAAAGTAAGAAAGTTAACCTTATCTCTGAGCGTAAACAGCTCATAGTGCGGCGGGTCAAACACCTCCTGAAAGTCGGCGCGGGGGAACAGATTGTTTTTACGTACCAGCACCTTCGAAAACAACAAATAATTAAACATTTTTTAATAAATTAGCAACTGGTACACCAATTTCCTGTGGCATGATATTACATCCTGTGATATCAGCTCATCTTAATTACCTTTTTCCGCGGCTGTTTGACTTGCACCAGAATGGAGACAATGAGGAGCAACAGCACCACTCCCGTCGACACACAGATTATTGTCCCGTGAGTCTTTGTGATCTGCTGAAAAACACCTTTGCTCTTTTTCTCTGGACGATGAAGGGAGTGACAAGGAGAGGTAAAATATGAGGGACTTTCAGAGGTACTGAGAGTGCATCAGTCATTTACTCGTTACCGCCCCTGTAAGGACGGTCTGTGTCTTTGGTTGCCAGGGATAATTCAGGGCGTTCGCTAAAAGCCGAACCCCTGATAAACAGCCGTCCCAACATCCGAGGTGCTTAACTTCCACTTATCAGCCGAAAAGCCTCGAAGGTCTTTTAGTTGGAAACGTGTCAAAGATGATGAGATTGTGATTTTCCTGCCAAGAGGAAATTCTGTACCAATATTTACTGCTTTTAGTATCAGGATGAAAAATGACAAAGAAGACCTGCTGAGGCCTCGTGTCAGCGTCTGGGTACAAATATTTTTGCAGAATTACAGCCACAGATCCTCAAGGAGGACTCAATGTGACACAGCGGAGGCAGACAAGACATGCATCACATTACATAGCACGACACAAGTCATTGTAACACGGCGCGGCACGGCGAATCAAAGAAAGTGTTGCTGCCAAAGTGCTTTGGCAGAACTGGGGTACCTTTGCAGTTGCTTTCATCCCAAGGAAAGACACAGTTTTGTATGCCGTTGCACACTAGAGAGGTGTTGATGCACATGTTACTGTGGCAAAAGAACGCACTGCCTGAACAGGGAGCTAAAACACAGAGACAGGTGTTACAGTATGTGAAGTATGCAGACAAGCTGACAAAGCAAGCAGGGCGACGACAGGAGTTTGCTGTAAATCTTTGCCTCTAGCTGTCTAACAGGGATCCCGCTTTAAATACATCTTATTAAACCATGTAAATGATCTTTTGCTCAGCATTTTGGTGCATTTTTGTGTGAATTTCCCCTTGCAAGGCTCAATAAACTTTCTTAACATTTTAGTGCATTACAAAACTGAACTGCAACCAAAACAACTTCCCTCTCATAAGCTGCAGTGATTGATAGCAGCCACAGGAGCGTGCTATTTCAAATCTGTCTGGGAATCACACATCCGAGCCTCGTACTGTCACAGCTGCAAAAACTAAAGCGAAGAGGCATCAGTGGGAATGCAAAGTGACGCAGGTGAAGAATAATGTGAAGGAGAAACTCACGGTCAGCGAAAGAGGTGAAGAGCATCCGGAAACGGCTGAGACGGCTCGTCTCGTCAGCCCACATCCTCACTACTGCCACACCAGTGTCCAGCATAATGTCATTAGCTACTGTACTACAAAACTTGGCCTGCAAGAAACCACATACCATTTTCTTTGACAGTTGTGGATGTGTAGTCTCATTGAAGCCAAGGTCTGTAGATCAGTTGCTACATATTTGGGATTCAAATATGACATTAATAAAGTTGCACGTATGACATGGAAAGATAAGAGATAAATCCTTTTATGTAGCAGAGGGAGAGAGAGAAGCTCAGAACTGGGAAACATAACATGCAAAAAGGCTAATTTTACCATCTGGCATGACATATGTTGCACATGTTATACAATATATTACCTTTAGGTCCTCAATGGCATTACTGCCATCATAAACAGCCACAAAGTTCTTCTTACATTCATTTGAGTTTTCCATCTGGTATTCCAAGAATCGCAGGTAAATCTGGAATAAGCAACGAGGAGGGATATGTTGTTCATCGTGTTCATTTTTCACATAGCTCAGTGTGCGTTCCTTTTCTCAATACATGCATGTGTGCTCAGACATGTGTTCACACTATAGAGGCCACTGCTGATGTGCTTTTAGTTTGATAATAAAAGGCCCGGAGCAGATTTACGTTGGATTTTGGCGATATGAAATTGAAATCCACACGCTCTGTCTTCACGATTATAAAAAGCATATTGAACAAATACATCACAGCAGACGTGGATGCGGCGAAGGGAATGAAGGATGCAAAATGAGCTGCGGGCTGCAGACTCATCTTTCAGACCACTGCACGGTTTGTCATTTTGCTCCCAATGAATCACGTCCCCTCTCCTCAACTTCACTTTGTGGAGAAGTGATTTCACATTTTTGAGCATCTAGCTATCTGGTAAGGAATGGAAATGAAGGTAATTCTGCTGTTGTGAATTAGATAACTAGGGGGACAAAAAAATGTGAATTTAACATACCCTGTTCTTTGTTGGTGCTCGTATGGTCCAGATGCAGTCCACCGCCTGGTCCGGCTTCACTTTGTACTCCTCCTCCACCTGACTGGAGCGAATCATCCCGTCAGCCCCTGACAGCTCAAACTGACAGTCTGACTCGCAAACAGTGACAAAAGATAATAACAAAGAGGCAGGGAGGGTGGAAAACATGCACAGGAGAGAAGAAGGAGATTAGTTGGTGGATGTGAGCAGAAACTAAACTAAAGATGTACAATTCAAAGTCATTTGAGTAGACAGGAGGTTGAGCTACCTGGGATGGGGTTTAGAAGTCCTCCCACATGCAGATGGAACTCAGGGTCTTTGGAGGGGAAACCACAAAAACAGAATGATAATCACAGTGACATCATCATGTGCAGATATTTGATTGGCCAGTAACAGCAAAGACACACGACTGAGGTGCTACTCGAGTGCCAGGACGGTACACTATAGCTCCAAACAGCCCACACCTGCAGTGAAGTTGTACTGGACCTGGAAGCCGGTTCCCTCCAGCTCCTCGTCGCTGAAGAAGCGGATCCACATGAAGCGTCCGCTGGAGAGGACGAGTCCGGGGCTGGCCGTGCCGCAGAAGCGATTGATGAGCGGGGAGAAGCTGAAGGGGCCGTCCCGCACCTCGATGTGGTCGAAACGGCACTCGAACGACGCCTCGATGTGGAAGGCCTCGCTGAAAAGCAGCTCTATCCTCTGGCGAGGCAGGGCTGTGGAGAGACTGGCGGTGCGTCACTTCTGCTGCCGCAGAGGGGATTCATAAGACTAGCGGAGAATGAGCAATGCTGTGTAAAAAGGACATTTGCTCCTCTGTGTGTAATTACTGTAGGTCAAATGTTCTAAATAAAAGGACACTGATGGAATGAGTGAAAACACACAACAGATTGTGTTGTGTGCTTTGTTACTCAAAATCCATCAACAAAAATCCACACATCATGTGTTTCTGTTGCCTCCCTGGAGAAGGAAAGTGTGCAGTGAAGATGGGCAACACTTCAACAAAGAACCTCCTCAGTCTGTTGTATTAATTGATGTATTAGTATTTTTTGGTCATTAGAAGTGGTGCCCGCTAATCTAAGGTTACAAGTGAGAATGATTTAAAAGGAACTGAGATCTTTAAAAACCCTGATTCAGTGATGGAGCGTTGTGTTTCTATGAAAGGAATCAGTTTATGGAACAAACTGAGTAAAGAAACCAAAGAATCAAAATCAGCATTTACATTTAAAAGAAGAATTAAAGCCAGTATGTGGAGGATAAATGTTAACTATGTCTGATTGTAAAGACGAGTAAGTAATCATGTCAAATTTTATTAAAGTATTAAAGATAATGTAAAGTAAAACGTGACTGCCAGCTTTGAAGATCAGCTATTTCATGTTATGATTATTGTTTTGTTGTGAATATTTGTTGTGTCATTGTGTTGTTGTTGATTCTTTTTGTAATTTAAGTTTGTTGTGAATGTGTTTCTTTGGGTAAAATGGGCAGATAATATCAGATTATTCTTCTTTCTGATCCCTTTCATTCAGGAGTTAGGAATGTTTGTGTCACGTTTAATTGTTTTAACTCAATGAATGAAATAAAAATGTAATTTAAAAAAAATAAGTTCAGTGCTGGCTTCCTCCTATACATGTATTGAACTCTACAAGCTGCAGCTACCTCCAGGAATTGCTCACTCTAGCTACCAAGAATTTTCTTTGGGAAACTTTTTTTAATCTTATCTTAATCTATAGGATACAAAGAGGAACAAAATATAGCTTTAAAACTGGGTGAAAAATAGAAGAAACAAGTAACAAAAGCAATGCTGGACAAATGACTTCAGCCTTAACAACAGCAGTTTGTTCTGGTGATGTCATCAGTGATTCAGTTCAGTGCAAAACTGGACCAAAGAAATCGATTTTCTTTTCGTAGGGGTGAAATGATCGGGCTCAGGTGCTCGCTGCCGATTACCTTCCAGCACGTAGAGGCACTCCTTGTTGGGAGGGTACGTTTTCGGGTAGTTCGGGGAGCTGAAGGTGCCGCCTTCTGCGTTTCGTACCCAGTTTCCACAGTGACGAGAGCGTGGAGGTTGTGGAGAAGGTTTGACTCCTTTTGACGCTGCGCTTCCATCTGATATTCAGAAAGTTGATGACACAAAATAATACAGTTTACAGAATTGTGAATTAATCTTGAATTAAACTGGAATACGTTGTGGTCGAAGTGAGCAATCTTACCTTTAATCTTTTGTGCCAAAGCAAATCCCTCCTCGATAAACAGGAGAAATATCCAGACTGCAAAGAAGCCAACAGAGGGGGGCATCACCAAGAAGTACAGCAAAGAAGAAGAGAAAAGGAGGCTGAGCAGGATGTCTGCTTGTGCTTTCCATCTCAGTGCACTCAGTAAAATGTATACAACAGGCCACAGGGTGCAGAGTTGAAAGTTCAGCTAAGACAGAAAAAAGGACACGCTGCTGCTTCTTCTACCATCTGCTTGCTTAACTCTTTCCCTTATTTTTTTTTTTGCAAGGGTGTATGTGACAGAGTGGCTGAGAGGTGGGGACTGCTGGCGATCTGCTGTCTGCTGTGATGTTCTGCAAGGACGTCTAATGGTAAATAAAAAAAAAAACGTCATGTGTCAGAAAATCAGATCTTGACATTTGTACCTATTACATAAAATGTGACCCAAATAGAGCGTTTAGCCAGAGGCCACCGGGCTGCTGGAATCTGTTTTGACTTTTCACCAAAGTGGCATGTTGCTGTGAACGTCCACAGACAAATGGCACGACACAAAACGGCCGTGGACGTTCGTGCAGCGTTGCTGGCTGTACAAAGCTGTGACAGCTTCTGGCCTGGAAGAAGACCAATTAAAACTTGGGTCCAATCTTTGGTAGTATGGTACCCCACTTGGAAGCCTAGGATTTGATTTGCTGATCATTTATTGGTTGCTTCTGCCTTTTTTTGTGTGTGTATTTTGATCTTTAAATGTGATATTACGGATAAATGAAGACGGAATCTGATTAAAAAATTGAATGAATCTGAACAATTTTCAATGAAATGATGGTATAACGAAGAAATGAAGCAGCACCGTCACTCTACTGCTGACTATTTTGATAATAAATGGCAGAATTCAGATTTTAGAGATGATATTCAGTGTGTGTGTGTGTGTGTGTGTGTGTGTGTGTGTGTGTGTGTGGAGGAGGGACTGAAGCAGAAGCAGCAGCAGCAGCAGCCCAAATCCTCCTCCTGTCCAGGCACTGAGCCACCACATGCTGATGCAAAAAAAAAAAAGAAAAAAGAACTGATTTCTTGGTTTTGAAAGAAAATCAGGATTTCTTTCTTGCAAAAAAAAAAAATTCTCTGTACTTTTGCAGCCATAAAAGCAAAGCTCACATGAAGGGAGCTGTCACTTCAGCACTGTGGATCATTTGCACCAGAGAAAAAAAAACAACAACTTTCAGAAACAAAGAGTTTTCCTGCCTTTAATTTAACAAAAAAAAAAAGACCTCTTAAAAACAGAAATTTAAAAGAAAACCTTGCACCCATTTCACTTGCACATTGCAGTCTGGGAATGTGGGGAGTTGGACAGCTGCAATAACACGCAAGAAGTGTGCCAAGAGAAGGAAATCTCGAAAAAAAAAAAAAGGTTTGCAAAGATTAGAAACCTCACCCCCTCCTCCTTTTTCTCATCCCCAGACACAAAAAGCACAATTTCCCCTCACATATGGATGATCTCACTCACCTGCTCGCATCTTTAGAGCTGCTCGTTTTGATTTCCAAACTTGACCAACTGCGCGCCCCCCTCACATCCCCGTTTCTAAGTCGAGCGGTTGGGATTAGCGCGTGTTACTGATTTACAAAATCCAACTTTCACCTTTTCATCCTTATCTCGTTGGTCAAGCTGAGACGGGCTTCTGGTGCAAAAAGGCGCCGATGAACTTCATCCTCGGTCTTCCTCTTGTGGAGCAGAACACGCAGGTCCCCGCAGAGCTCAGTGCGCATCAGACTGAGACTCTCAAATAAACAGATGATCTGTCTGCGGCTGCTCGCGGGTTTTAAGATTGAGCTCAGTTGGCGCGGGATGAGGGGAAAGAGCTGATTGCGCATGCCCGTCATCATATATGAGCAATGAGTGATATGATAATCCTCCAGCAGCCTGTGTGACAGAGTGAAGGAGATGAACTGGGAATTCCCCCATATCTTTAAAAAAAATTAAATTAGCTGATTCAGGGCAAGTTTCCAGAAAAAAGGGTGTCTGTGCCAAAAATTTTTAAAAAGCCTCACTGGGTTTATCTCATTGCATTTCTATGCATGCAGAGCAGAGAGCAGGGCAAATCCACTGCACACTTTTTCTCTTCTTCAAGGACACTCATCACCTGCAGCCTTAAAAAAAAAAATCCTACAGATGGAGAAACATGAAAGCCAAGTGTTGGTGGGATGGAGATTTTTTTCCTTTGATGTGTTGCCTTTTAACGACAAAAAAAAATCCTGTCATCGCGTCCGCTGGCAGATTTGTGCCTTTCTAGATGGCTGTAAATGCTTTAAATCAGCCGCTCTGCCTTCAGAGATGGACAGTGGAAGCAGACTGCTGGCAGACACTCCGTCTCCTTGACAGACACCTGGCTGCAGATGAGCGACATGCTCTGAAATATTCCCATCCTTTCCTTTTCCTTTCCTTTCCCTTCACACTGGCCCGGTGCATGCATAATGCAAACTGTTCTTGCAGAAATATTTGAGTGCAGTAAGTTGAGCAGTGGTGCATTTTATTCAACTTTTGATTTGTTCGTGGACGGCTGTAACTTACAAATGTGAGGAAAAGCACAGAAAAATATACAGCGCCTAAAGAAATAAAGGTACTTGCCATAAAGCAGGACGGCCCCCGTGGGTGTTTTATTATGGTATGTTTTATCACTGCATTAAAATTACTGATGTATAAACATCTGAGCTGGAATTTTATGCCGTAGCTGGTGGAGGGGAAGCAAATTTTCACAACTTTATATACTTTTAGGCAGCTTAGTTATGATAATTAAACTAATGAAACAGAAAGATCATATAAAAACCTTCACTTTTGAGTACAAAGCACAGGTTTTTCCTCTAAAATGTAGGAAAGCAAGTGAAGTAATGTTATATTCCATCACTGCTTCTCAGTCAAAGACACAAACAGCACAAGTTTTCAAAATAACTACTGTAATCAGACGAATATTTCTGAGACAAAAAGCATGTTTCCCTCTAAAAATGTAGGTAATAGAAATGGAAATAAAGTACAGCTGCATAATTTAAGCACAATATTGTTATATTCTGTCACTGATTCCAAAAGACACACAAGTGGTACACGTGGTGAGATTCTACCTTCCTCTGTCTAATTAAACTTGACAACATCTATCATCTGTGTTGTGTTTTCTGCTGATAGTGAGCTTATTCTCTCCCTTGCTGAATTTTTCTGTTTGTCACATAAACAAACTTAAGTTAGACAGAAGACAAACAAAAAAAACATCAGCAGGCAACCAAACTTCACAGTCACACCACAAATCACAAAGCAACACACACCAAACTCCCCCGAGGGCACGTTTTCAAAGTCTCCGTGGCCGTCATTATTCAGTAAGGTGGGACCAAGTTTCTGCGGTAGCAACCCTCGGGGTGAATTAATTTCAGCGGGAGACGAACACGGTACGTGCACGGCCGTAAAGTTGCGTCATTTGTGTTTAAAAGCGACTCTCTCCCCTTGTGATTGATCGTAAAGCGAGGGTGTTGTCTCGGAGATGCATGAATCTTTTATTTTCAGGAGTGGGTTTTGGAAGGAGTACAGCGGCTCCATCTCATCACCAGCTGTGTGACACTCGAGCTGCCGAGAGAGAGAGGAAAAAAAAGTAACTGCTCATCGCCTATAAATCTCACGACCAGTTGGCCACTCTCGCTGTTTGTCACTCGCCCAGTTTGAACACATGCAAAGGTACGCGCATGCACCTTTGCCGCACATCAAGGGTATTCAAATCTGCATCTGTTGCCATAGCAACTGGGCGTCTTGCCTGCTTCTTCTGAGGTAATCAGAGACCTAGAAAGCAGAGGTTTTAGGAGGGGGGGGGTTGACAGAGACGGGGATCAAAGTGGAACAAAAAGTCTGCTGCTGCTGCTGCCGGAGGGAAAGCTTTGTGTTGTCGTAACCCAAAGCCGGCGGAAGTGCTGTGTTGTCTTTTAATCCCCTGCGAGTTACTGTAATCTTAGGAAAGATTTTGTAATATTAAGGTGTCCTTGAGGTTTCTGAACTGGCTTTCGCATCGCTGCGGCGCTGTAACTTTTCTGATCTTTCACATTTCTTTTGCTTTTGTGCTCGACAACATCAGTGTTCTGTGTGATGCAAATGCGTGGGTTCTCTCTGCCATTAGCAATCAAAAGCTGATGAAAAAGGCCAAATGTGACATGAATCCTGAGTTCGGGAGGAAACTGATTTGCCTAATTGTACACGTACTGAATGAAAATAGGTTCGCTGTGCTGTTCTCTGTACATTTCATTCTTATTGAAATTCAGTAGGAAGCAGTGAAATTTTCTTTTGCCCAAACGATCGCATCTCGGTCTCACATCGTGTTAATCAAAGGCTCCGAAGCAGGACAATGTGGTGAAGTCGTATGTTTCCAAGGTCAATGATGACATTTCAGACTTAAGTTTTGAGGCCTGGGTGGAGATGAAGCATTCAAAATGCCAAAAAAAAGTAAAAATTGCACATTAAACTTTTATATTAAACCTCAACGGGCTCCAGCTTTTGATCAGATTGTTATGCCAACTTTTA